ATCTTAAAGCATGCTGGCTGGGGAATTATGGGGGTTGAAGTCCACACCTCTCAAAACATGCTAACTGGGGAATCCTGGGAGTTGAAGTCCACACAACTTAAAGCATGCTAGCTGGGGAATTCAGGGAGCTGAAGTCTTCATCCCTTCGAGTTGCCAAGTTTGAAAAACGCGGCCTCAAACCCTGCCTGCAAAAGCCTTTTGCTTTTTGCAAAAACCCTCCCTGTCCGGTTCATCCCTCGGTCGGTGGGTCGGGGCCGCGACCCCCTCCCTCTCTGCCCCTCTGTACTCCCACGTGACTCTGCAGGTGTGTATGGGAACCCTTTGCCGCTGCCCCTAATTAGTGGCATAGTGCAGCCGCCCGCTGTGCTTTTCACCAGCCCCGCTTGCCTTGGCCGGGCGATGTGTTTGACAAGTGACACATCGCACAATAGGCAGGTTGCCTGGGCGGGAACGGTGGGGTTGGGGTGGAAAAGTGGGCCCGATAGGGACCATCGGAAAAGTTTGTGTTTGTCTGGATGAGCAGAGATTGTGCCAAGCCGGTGTAGGAAGTTAAAACCCTAGAAAAATGAAATATCCTAGGAAATATGAAAAAGGCAGAATATTTCCCCTAAAAAGAGTAGAAACTCAGAAGCAGAAGCTCACCCCCCCACCCCCACCTTTGTTAATGGGCCAGAATACTTTACATAACAAAGATCTCCAGGTAAAACTATAGCAATTGCCAAAAGCCCTTTCAGTGCATCATCATCCAGCATGGCTCAACCAAGCCTGGAACTCAGGACAGCCTACAGAGTTGCCCCCGCACGACCCCATGGGAGTCTGACAACCAATCAGAATACAAGCTCCAATTCAAATCCCAACCAAGGTTATAAAACCCAGGTACTCTCAACCTCTCAGCCCTTCTTGACCTTCTCTTCTCATTCAACCTTTTCACTTTGGAGCTTCAAGCCATGTGGGTCCTGCTATCCACCATTAAACCATCTTTCCTAACAGCCTCCATGTTTCCAGTGTCTTTTTCCCCACTTGGAACTGAACCCAGAAGGATATTTCTTCCAACACCAGGATTGGAGGGTGGGGTAGTGGTTTATTTTTCTAGCAATCCAGGATTCCTAAAGAGCATAAACATGGATAATTGGTTTAGCCTGGACGGTGGCCATCAGGGTCACCAGGGAATGAGGATCTTTATGAGGCTACATCTCGTCCTTGGCTTACCATAGTTCATTCAGTGACCGTTGAAAAAAGTTACTGTTAGGATTCCGGCAGGATTTCCATCATTAAATCATAAGTCTCCAGCAGGGGTGGGATTCAAATGTTTTTACTATCGGTTCTGTGGGTATAGCAGGGGAAGGATAGTGTAAAATCTCCAGTCAGAGGTAGGATTTGCCGGCACTCCGAACTACTCAAAATTTCCGCTACCGGTTCTCCAGAACTGGTCAGAACCAGCTGAATCCCACCTCTGCTTCCAGCTGTATTCTGATTGAGACTGATCACAGCTGTAGGCATGGCTTGGTGAGCGTGGCAGGGGAAGGATACTGCAAAATCTCCATTCCCTCCCCACCCCACTAACCTGCTTTCCAGTTCCGTTCTCCTGTGCTGGGCAACCAAAGAAGACCCAGCCGATCATCTGGGACTCAGAAAGCAGAGAATAGAGGGGGTTGGTGGGGCCAGTCAAAGGTGGGATTGGCTGGTTCTTCGAACTATTCAAAATTTCCACTACCGCTTCTCCAGAACTGGTCAAAAACCTCTGCTCCCCACTCCACTGGCCTGCTTTCCAGCTCCATTCTCCTGTGCAGGGCAACAAAAGAAGATCCAGCCGATCAGCTGGAGGCACAAAAGAGATGGGGTTGGTGGGGCCACTCAGAGGTGTTACTGGCCAGTTCTCCAAAATACTCAAAATTTCCATTACCGGTTCTCCAGAACTGGTCAGAACCAGGTGAATACCACCTCTGGTCTTGAGCCAAACTTCCAAAACTTCGAAAGGATTTATTGGGAGCTAACATGCCGGCACTGCCTGGGTGTAGCCGACTCTGAGACACATAATTCACTGTCACCCCTGACCCTGGTTTTTCCTCCCCACCCCCTGGGTGTATCGTAATTCATATTCTCCAATGGGACACATCCATAGCCAAGAATCATCAATCATGCTCTCCAGTTAGATATTTGCCCGGCAGAAACTTCATTCATGTAGTTACCATCTTTGAAAAACTATTTATGGAATGCGCTTTCGGTTTCCAAGCTGACACACTGCTCTTTCAAACCCCTTTCCCCCCCCTTCCCTTTCTGTTGCCAACTCTAAAAAGACCATAGGAATATTTTATGAGTTGACAGTTACGAGGGCACTGAAGACTGGAAAGTCCCTTCCAGCTGAGTGATTGATTGATTGATTGATTGAGACTGGAAGCTAAAACATACGAAGACCAGTTGCAGGAATTGGGTATGTTCTGGTTTAATGAAAAGAAGGACTAAGGCGGGGGGTGGGGACATGATAGTAAGTCTTCCAATATTGAAGGGGGTGGAGCTGCCAGAAGGAAGAGACGGGGGGACAATTTGTTCTCCAAAGCATCTGAAGGCAGGACGAGTCTTCAAATATCAAACAATCCACTATTGACAGGGGTGGGATTCAAATTTTTTTAACAACCGGTTCTGTGGGCGTGGCTTAGTTGTTGGGCGTGGCTCGGTGGTCATGTTATTGGCTGGGCGCGGCCAACTCAATATCACTCACATTGAGGTACGCACCTCCTCGCCTGGCCTCTCGTGACTGTGGGGATGCCGCAACAGTCGTAAGTGTGAAAAACGGTCATAAGTCACTTTTGTCAGTGCCATTGTAACTTTGAATGGTCACTCCACACAAGCAAAGCACCAGCAAAGGAGGGGAAAAATAACTCCAGAGACGTTCCTGAGACAGGAAGTCTAGTCTTGCCAAGAATGTAATAAGGGTTAACGGAGAGGCAGTTTCTGTAAGCAACACCAGAATGTTTCCTTCCTGCCTTCCTTACAGGATTAGGCCAGTAATTTCTTCTAACAATCGGTTCTCTGAACTGCTTAGAATGTTAACAACCGGTTCTAGTGAATAGGTGAGAACCTGTAGAATCCCACCCCTGACTATTGACCTCGCCCCATTCCTAAGAAGTCTGTAAGGAGTGTGCAGAAGTACACCATCATGCCTACCGTCTCTGTCCTATTGTCCCCATTTATTCGTACCTATTTCCTGTATTCTTACTCATGTTTATACTTATACCTATTACCTTCTAAGTTATTAACCAATCAAATAAATAGATAAACAGATAGATATGCCTACATGCCCTCTGTGGAAGGATTGGATTCCATCTCCCATGGCCCCCAGCCCCCTTGACCACTTGCAGCTGGAACTGAGCTATGCGCAGGGGCCCCCCTACGGGCTCTCGACTGTCTGTAATGATTTCATCGACAAATAGCCAGAGGATTTGGAAAGAATTCGGAATTCAGGCCAGGCTGGCAAGATGCCATAACCTGGGTGGCTTTTCAGCTGGATCTTGAGAATGTGCGACTGTCAGAAACATTTATGATCTGGAGGCAGAAAAGCTCTGAGGAAGTACAATTAGGTGAAATTGGGAAGGGGGGAGAAGGATATTTTTTTTCCCTCTCTCTTCTGGCTGAGGGGTAGATCTCGCAGGTTGAGTCATCCCAGGTTCCTTCCTTCTATATGCCGTGAAGGAGGCTAGAGGTAGCATTGACTGAGATTGGAGACACCCAACTGGGTTCCATTTAAAGAAAAGGCTGGGTTTGAAATTCAGGCGAGGAATCTGTCAGTCATGAGCCTGGAGGATTGCAGGTATACACATTCTAACTCCTTGGAGGTTTTCTGAAAGAGAAAGAAAGAAAGAAAGAAGAAAGAAAGAAAGAAAGAAAGAAAGAAAGAAAGAAAGAAAGAAAGAAAGAAAGAAAGAAAGAAAGAAGGAAGGAGAGAGAGAGAGAAAGAGAGAGAAAGAGAGAGAAAGAAAGTAAAACAGAAAGAGAGAGAGAGAGAAAGAAAGTAAGAAAGAGAGAAAGAGAAAGAAAGTAAGAGAGAGACAAAGAGAGAAAGAAAAAAAGAA